GGGGAAAGTGCTAGGGCCTTGTGTGTTGGAATGCAGGGCCTGGCTCGGTGGTGGGGCCTCTGGGGAAGACCAGCACTGGAGCATTTGTGGTCAAGCTAGGGCGCAGAAGCAGCAGGAATCTCAGAACTGGGCTGCAGCCTGGAAGCAGGGCACTCGTTGTGTGGTCAGGACAGCGGGGTCAGACAGCAGCATGGGAACCACGGAGGAGGAGCCATGCAGGGCCAGGTGGCATCATGGAGGTCGCAGGTGTAGGGCTGCAGGGCAGGTAGCCAGGCAGCCAGGTCTCTCCCTTTGCCCACGTCCTAGGGGAGCAGTCACCACAACGCTTCTCAGGTTTCGTCTGCTCTGTGCAAATCTACCGTTGGGGGCAAGGTGCTCAGCTCCCCATCACATGGTGTGCAAGAGCACTGGCTCTGCCCGTTTCCTCCCTGGCCCAGAGTGGGCAACGTGTAAGTGGCTGCGGCAAAGCAGAGCTCCATATAGATCTGGTCCCCGGACCGAGAACTCAGATTGACGTCAATTGCGGTAACATAGGAACAGAAGCTAGCAGGTCCCTGCTGCACCAGCTCTTCAGTGCAATGTCGCTGCACAGACTCTAAGCAGCCCCCTGATCAGGCCAGATGTCTGCTCTGGTGGATGTCCCCTCACAGCTCAGGCCACAGTGTGTGTGCGCGGAGCATGGAGCCCCTGAGTTCTCTCTTCCTGTCCTTCCCCACTGTGGATGGACTCCTCCCCCAGGTACCTTCCAATCTTGCAGAATAAATCTCCCTGTCGCCTCTGCCTTGACTCTGAATGTCCCCATTGCTTCTCAGTGATTCACAGTGCTCTTTCCCAGAAGGCCCATCCATAGGTGGGCACCCACCTGCAACATTCGGTCCTCTACTTGAGAGCCGTGCTTGGGCTGCTTCTTGTCCACCAACTTGCCCCACCCCCTCCACCCCCCAGCAATATAACTTTCAAGACAAGAACAGTCAATAATTTTGTTCTATATTTAAAATAAACACACATATAAACACAAAAAACATTCCACAAGCTAGCTAACAATGTGAAAGAGCATATTTATAAAAATCAGAAGGAATGCATGAGCACAAGGTACAGAATTGTGGTCATTTCATACAGTGGGAAGTTCAGGGATGGATCAGACACCACACATGAGTTGATACTATTGTTGTGAATGTACAGGCTTCATTTTCAGTGGTGATTTCACAGCTTATGAGACTTGGTAGCTCAGCCTGGGCTTGGAGGGTGGATGAACTTGGTTTCCTGCGGGTTCCCAACTCCAACCCTGAGATGTGGAGAGGCCAGTTCTTCAGGACAGCATGTTCCATCGTACTCCTCTCCTCTCGCATTAATTTTCCTGATTATATGAGTTGGCTTTTGGAAAGAACAGTCAGCATTACATAAACATATCTATATTTATTCATATTTTATACATGTTGAGTTGTCTTGAGTTGACTTGAAGGAGAAAGACAGAGATGTCAGTCTTGACCTATGAGGTAAGAAAGAAATTTCCAATAAAACTTCAAGAGCCAGAATTTGCATGGTGTTCTGTGTTAATAATACAGAATCAATTATTTTTGTGGTTGTTAACTTCTTGAAGTTTAGAACAAAAAAATTAAGAACTTGAAGAATGTTCTCAATTTGTATTTAATTCAACTTTTAAAATAGCAGAATAAACATTTAAATTTATTCTACATTTTCCAACATAAAGATGCATATATATTAATGTGGCAGGGGAACGTTGCATGATACAAATGGAATGACACGTAGCTCTCAAAAAAGGCAGGGAGACACTAAAATGTTCTATATTTCTGGAGGTAAAAAATTAAACTTGAAATTTCGACCTTTGAGGTTGGTCAGTGATTGGGTTGAAGTCAGGCCTTTATTAGGGACTGTGTCAAACAAAAAATGTTGTCTGAAATTTTTCCATGGCACCCCTTATATCTAGGGTGAGAATTGGTCATCTTCCTGTGTGGTGCAGTATCTGCAAACTCTGCAAACTGTGAAACTTTTGCGATGGCAACCACATCCTGTTCATTTTCCAATTTTGCTCAACCCCTGTGTACTGTCCAACAGAAGTGGCAACATGTCTTCCCATCTCATACCTCTCCTGTGTCTAGGTGAGTCCTGGAAGGGAAGGGAGGAGGGTATTAGAATGGAAAATGCTGTCCTGAAGACCTGGCCTCTCCACATCCCAGGGCTGGAGGTGGAAACCCACAGGAAGCCAAGGTCATCCACCCTCCAAGCCCAGGATGAGCTACCAAGTCTCATATCTATGACAAGGTCCAATTATGGGGAGGGCAGGATTCATTGTGGGGATAAGTCATCTCTGATGTGGTTTTCCCTCCAGGATTCTGCTTGGACCACAGGACCTTCACACACGTGGGTGAGTCCCCTGAAGTCCCAGGATGCAGTGGTGGCTAAACACAAAGGGATCTCATGCGTGGGAAGGGTGGAGCATGGGGTTGAGCTGATGCAGGTGATATTGGAAGGGCTTTGCAGTGATTCTCCTTGGAGCACAGCAATGAGGTCCCCTGGAGACCCTGGACCCTCATTTTGTTCTGGAGACCCTCCATAGACACCCCCTCTGGGCTCAGCCTGTACTTGGTGGAGCCTGTGACATTCAGAACT